CCCTGCAAATACAGGAACAACGAAAAGAAATTATCAAATTTATACTGGATGATTCTCAGTTTTATGTTTAGTTTTGGAGTTATGTATCCATTATCGACGAGTACAAATGGACCTGTAATGCTTTACATACGAGTATTGTTGCCAAAATAAATAGATAAATAATATGCGACTTAACGGCTAAAACATTTGTTCTAGCCGAGTAGGAAGGCAATTTCCTCGTATGTGCCTCACAGTTTTTCAGTGCAATTTGTACAATATCTGATCTCAGCTGCATACATTAATAATGTAATGCGATATTTGTTGGAAATAGTGGGTCAATTGGGTCAACTTTGACCACAATTTTAAGTGGGACTCGGTGTTCGATGTCTCGAAATTAGGGTGTGTTTGATTGACAAGGAAAATATTACCTAAAAAAGAAAATATATTCCATCTTTTGTGGAAAATAAAAACCACCTCTACCTAAGGAAAATATTTTCCTTAAAAACAAGGAAAATTAGGCATATTTTCAAAAGTTGGAAAATGTTTTCCCGGGAAAAAAATAGCAATCAAACACTCAAAGTGAAAATTTGGATGGAAAACTGATATTTTCCATGGAAAATAAATGTAATCAAACATATCCTTAATGTTCAATTAAATTCTACGTTCTGAGTAGATGAGTATAGAATATTTAATTGTAAAAAACCATTTCAATATAAATGAGAAATTATGATTGAAAGTTGGACAATAAATAAGAGGAATAAATGAAAAAGAACTGAAAAAATGTTCCAATCCTACATAGGTTGCAAACACAACCTTGAACCACTTAATAAACTTCAAGTTTGAATATGAGTTTGGGCCCCAAGGGGTACCAATAGTCTTTAAAAGAGGAGAGTCTTAGACAATGTCCAGACTAATCCAAAGGTCACACGCGCGCGCGCGTCGCCGTCGGGCAGTCGGGTCGTGGGTGTGGGCCTGTGTTAATATTAATTTAAATTTTTTTTTTAAAATTCAATTAATTCCTCCCTTTGATAGTTTATTAACCGACCCATCAGTTTGCTAAAACTGTGCGTTAAGTGGGCGTGAGTGGTGGATGGAAACTGTTCAACCGTCAACTCTCTTCTATTTGAATGGCCCTCGGGCTTTCAATTTTAAAAACACATACAGAAACATCACGAAATCATTCTGCATACATACTCTTCTTCTCTACAATAGTCTACAGAGAGTACTTCCGTTCTGGTTCGTTGTCTTGCAGTCGAAGTGCTGCTTCTGCAAGCATCTGATCGTTGTATATTGGGAGACGCTTTACCACATACCGTAAGCACCGTGTGAAGGGGTAAAAACGTCTTAAGGATAGAGAGCTTAGTTCTCGCCTCGATCATCCTCTTCCGAATTCTGGACTTCTTTATGCTTCTGTTTATTCTGTGCAATTCATTTTCAGAAAATGATATTCTGTTTTTACTGTTTTGCAATTGTTCATCTGGTTTAGCAAGTCATTCATGGAAAATCTGTTCTGTACAACAAATTCGAAAATTGAAAAACAACAATCTTAAGACGTTTTTTATAAATTATTTTCCAAAATTGTACTTACTTATTTCTAACATTTGCAAACTCTTATGTGAAATTACTATTCTGCAGAATTTTAATTTGTAAATTCTGATTGGTTGATCGTCTGTTTTGAAAACAGAAATGACTAACACTGTTGGGATCAATGCAATTCCCCCTGCTGTGGCTGTGACGCCAACTGTGGCTACTGTAACGCCGACAATGTCTGGTCCTTCTGGTTCAACTCATGTTCCTCACGGAGAGAAACCTGAAAAATTTAATGGGGTCGATTTTAAGAGATGGCAACAGAAAATGCTGTTCTATTTCATCACTCTGAACCTGGCAACGTTTCTCACGGAGGATCCTCCTACTATTCAATTATTGCCTTGAATGTATGGAAACATTCCGATTTCTTATGCAAAAATTATGTACTGAATGGACTGAATGATTCGCTATATGGTATATATAGCATAATGAAAACTGCAAAAGAACTATAGGAATCTTTAGAGAAAAAATATAAAACTGAAGATGCTGGATCTAAAAAATTTCTTGTCGGAAAATTTTTGGAATATAAAATGATTGACTCTAAATCTGTTATTTCCCAAGTTCAAGATTTGCAGGTACTCCTCCATGATTTACATGCTAAAAAAATGATTGTAAGTGGGTCATTCCAAGTAGCAGCAGTAATTGAAAAACTCCCGCCTTCATGGAAAGATTTCAAAAATTACCTCAAATACAAACGTAAGGAAATGAACATGGAGGAGTTGATTGTGCGTTTGAGGATCGAAGAAGATACTAAGAAATCTGAAAGGAGGAACGGGGGACCAAGCATGGAAGCTAAGGCAAACATGGTTGAATCAAGTTCAAAGAAGAACATGAAAAGGAAGCACTCAAACTTTGCTCCGAAGAAAAAAGAAAACAACCAGAAGAACAAGAAGTTTAAAGGGGACTGCTTCAGCTGTGGCAAACATGGACATCATGCAATTGACTGTCGCAAGCCTAAAAAGCAAAATGACCGTGCACATTTGTTGAAACTGAAAATCTGTCTGAAGGTGTTCAAGAAATGCACCTATCTGCTGTAATATCTAAATGTAATAGTGTTGGAAATCCCAAGGAATGGTGGGTGGACACTGGTGCCACTCACCACATTTGTGCTGAAAAGAATGTGTTTTCTGATTACAAAACTATCAATGAAGAACAATTGTTCATGGGAAATTCCTCAAGTTCAAAGGTTGAAGAACAAGGAAAGGTGACCTTGAAGATGACATCTGGCAAGGAACTTGTCCTTAACAATGTCCTGCATGTGCTGGACATTCGGAAAAATATTATTTCTGGTTCTCTTCTTAGCAATAATGGGTTTAAGTTAGTATTTGAATCTCACAAATTTGTACTAACTAAAAATGAAATGTACGTTGGAAAAGGTTACGTGACCGATGGGATGTTCAAGATGAACGTCTTTACTGTTGTACCTAAATTGAACAAGATTAATGAAGCTTCTACTTCTGCGTATATTGTTGATTCTTCTTGTTTATGGCATAAAAGATTAGGACGTGTAAACTTTAAATCTGTGCGCAAATTAATGAAATTAAATTTGCTACCTTCTCTAAGTTTCGATCCTAATTACAAATGTGAAACTTGTGTTGAGGCTAAGTTAGCCAAAAGACCATTTCCTTCAGTTGATAGAAATACTTTCCCTTTAGAATTAATTCACAGCGATATATGTGATTTGAAATTCGTACAAACTAAAGGTGGAAAAAAGTATTTCATCACTTTCATTGACGATTGCACTCGGCACTGTTATGTTTATTTATTAAAAAGCAAAGATGAGGCTTTGGAAATGTTTAAACATTATAAGAATGAAGTTGAAAATTAACTTAGCAAAACAATAAAAATTGTTCGAAGTGATAGAGGTGGAGAATATGGAGCGTCGTTTGAAGAATTTTGTTCTCAACAAGGCATCATTCATCAAACAAAGGCTCCTTATTCACCTCAATCTAATGGTATTGCGGAATGAAAGAACCGCACGCTTAAAGAAATGATGAATGCTATGTTGATTAATTCTGACCCACCACAGAATTTGTGGGGGGAAACTATCATCTCGACAAATCATATTCTTAACAAAATACCACACAAAGTAAAGGATGAAACACCTTACGAATTATGAAAAGATCATAAACTTTCATGTAAATACTTGAAAGTATGGGGGTGTTTGGCAAAGGTAGAAGTGCCAAAACCTAAACAAATAAAAATAGGACCGAAAACTGTAGATTGCATATTTATTTGATTTGCTCATAACAGTAGTGCATATCGCTTTCTTGTGCATAAATTCGAGATTACGGATATACATGAAGATACAATAATTGAATCAATGAATGCAATTTTCTTAGAAGATGTCTTTCCTCGTAAAGACAAAAGTGATGTAAGTTCAACAAAACGAACTTACGATACTGCAAATGATAATAAAAATGAAAAAGAACTCAGACGCAGTAAAAGGGATAGAAAGTCTACGTCCTTCGATTAAGAATTTATAACGTACATGATCGAAAATGAACCAAAGACATTCAGTGAAGCAATGTCAACACCAGAGGCTCCTTTTTGGAAATAAGCTATCAATAGTGAAATTGAATCGATAATGCAAAATCATACTTGGGAATTGGTTGATCTCCTACCTGGAAATAAACCTCTAGGTTGTAAGTGGTTCTTCAAGAAAAAGTTAAAATCGGATGGATCTATTGATAAATACAAAGCTCGTTTGGTAGCAAAAAATGATATAGACAAAAGGAAGGTCTTGATTTCTTTGATACTTGCTCACCAGTAACGAGGATTACTTCGATAAGAATCCTTATTGCAATTGCTGCGATACATAATCTCGAACTTCATCAAATGGATGTTAAAACAACTTTTCTAACTAGTGAGTTGGAAGAAGAAATATACATCAACTTTGACCATAATTTTAAGTGGGACCTGATGTTCGATGTCTCGAAATTAATGTTCAGTTAAATTCTACGTTCCGAGTAGATGAGTGTAGAATATTTAATTGTGAAAAACCACTTCAATATGAATGAGAAATTATGGTTGAAAGTTGGACAATAAATAAGAGGAATAAATGGGAAAGAATTGGAAAAATGTTCCAATCCTATATAGGTTGCAAACACAATCTTAAACCACTTAATAAACTTCAAGTTTGGATATGAATTTGGACCCCAAGAGGTACCAATAGTCTTTGAAAGGGGGGAATCTTAGACAATGTCTAGACTAATCCTAAGGCCACATGCGCACGCGCTGCCGCCAGGCGGTCGGGTCGTGGGTGTGGGCCTGTGTTAATATTAATTAAATTTTTTTTTTTAAATTCAATTAATTCCCTCCCTTTGATAGTTTATTAACCGACCCATCAGTTTGCTAAAACTGTGCGTTAAATGGGTGTGAGTAGTGGATGAAAACTGCTCAACCGTCAACTCTCTCCTCTATTTGAATTGTCCTCAGGCTTTCAATTTTAAAAACACATACAGAAACATCACGTAATCATTCTGCATACATACTCTTCTTCTTTGCAATAGTCTATAGAGAGTACTTCCGTTCTGGTTCGTTGTCTTGCAGTCGAAGTGCTGCTTCTGCAAGTATCTGATCGTTGTATCTTGGGAGACGCTTTACCACATACAATAAGTACCGTGTGACGGTGTAAAAACGTTTTAAGGACAGATAGATTAGTTCTCGCCTCGATCTTCCTCTTTCGAATTCTGGACTTCTTTATGCTTCTGTTTTATTCTGTGCAATTCATTTTCAGAAAATGATATTCTGTTTTTATTGTTTTGCAATTTTGTTCATCTGATTTAGCAAGTCATTCATGGAAAATCTGTTCTGTACAACAAATTCGAAAATTGAAAAACAACAATATTTAGGCACAAGTACTCAATATTGTAAGAACTTATTTCTGAAACTTGAAAGAAAATAGTAATTTTTTAAAATTTATGAACTAAAGTATTATGAAAATCCAACTTTCACAAGGTGAAAGATATGATCGATATTTGTGTTTCTAGAGCAGACCAACTATCCATACTTAAAAATCTACAAATTCAGCATAGGTTCAAACATCTCAACTCAAGCATTCAATTCCCCTAAAAAGGTAAGGTTCTATCTAGCATTCAAATCTAAGTCACCAGTTCCATGCCACGCAGTATGCATGGCGGTATCTCCATTTTCTGTTTCCTCATCATTCAAGAAGTCATCAGACGGCTCCTTATCATCCTTGTGTGCATTGTTACTCCATCCATTCATCATCCCATCATGGTTGGCATTATGATCCTGCTCACCCATCTCATGACCAACTGAAATATTAATGCCTTGAGAGCCAAGTGCATTTGCTCTTATTGGGGGCACTCGAGCCATCATCTCAGCATGAGCAGCCATTCGCATATTGGCTTCATGAGTTTCTTGAGTTGCTTTCTGCCTTGAGCCCATTTCAGCCCTCAATTCAAGAAGTGCTTGTTTCTGCTCTTGCAACAGTAATTGCTCCATCATCAGTTTCTCCTCCGTCCGGAACTCCCCAAGGCCACGCTTGCGGGAAATTATATTAAATGCAAGGACTTGCTTCTCAAATGTGGCAGTAAACTCCGCAACTTTGGCAGCAATGTTGTGGTCCCACTGCTGAGAGCGAGAAAGGATTTGACCTGTCGTGTCTGAATCAAGGATCTTGTCATCCTCCTCTGCTTCATAGTCTGCCACCACATGGTAAGGTAATAGCCTACACAAATTTTACTTGAGAAATTAGTTGCACAAGTAGAGTACAAGTTTTACATGCAATGTGTGTTTTTATATTTTAAGATTTTCTTTAGTTGGCCAAATTGATTCACGTGAAAGTAACCTACTTAGAAGATAATAGACACACAAATTCATCAACATAGTAAATTCGATGGGGTTGCATTGTTCAGTAAATAAAATTTGTTCACTATTCACCGGATTCAGGTCAATAAACTCAGTGACTATCTAGCTGATACAATAAGCAAAAGACTAGTAACTGAAACTCTACTAGTATCACACCCAGGGAGAGAGAGAAATCAGCCACAATCAACATAGAAATTATAATATACAGAATCAGGAATAACTTCCCTGTAATTCACAAAGGAATTCTTAGCAATAAATAATACATAAAGATAGAAGCCACCACTAAAAGGATTATTAACAAGCATTAATGTTTTAGTTTCACCTAATAATCATATGGACCACAAAATCCTATTATTTAGGTTTCTTGCTCATCAGATGACTTACTGAATTAGAATAGATGCGACCAAACTCATCAATTCAGGGCTCAACAGCCTTGTAATGCACTTGAGTGCTCATGAAAATTTAAGACCCAATATATCCGACAGATAAATTCAAAGTCAGTAACGGTTGGCATCAAGGAAGTAGTCTATCTAGTGTGCACCACATAGAAACTTGCCAGAGAACAGTAAAGCAATATACTGCAATTTTGAGGGGAAAAAAACGTTTAGACAAGACTGACGACAGCCAACGTCCGTGGAAAATGCTACCTAAAATATAACTCAAAAACGTGACACAAACTAGTGAATACTATATGTTCTGTGAAATATAACCAACTCGATTTCAGTAACATTAATAATTCATCGTGTTTTGATCTCACCATCAATCCAATTCCTTTCTTGAGAATTTTAACCGAATAAGCACAGCTATATTCAATTCTAAAATTTTTCAAGAAAAGACAATTAAAGATAGACGGAGACATTCTGGCACCATATGCTGAAGACTAATTCACAATGAAAAATTAATTATAAAAATATCAGCGCATAAAATATCTTGTGCAGAAAACTTGAGCTAGAGAGAGAACAAAGACGCAACAACTGTAACAGTAAAATAAATTACATTCAAGATCAAAATCTGAAGTGCGCTCATTATGCCATATAACATACTCCCATTGTATCCACGGCCATAGAGTAAATAAAGAAACAAACAGGGAAAAAAAAGAAAAACCTTTCGCAGGCATCTTCAAGGGAAGAGAAAGGGCTCTTGAAGTCTGGATGACAAACCCGCCAGGCGTCGTGGTAAGCCAGCTGCAAAGAGGCCTTGTGCTGCTGTTGCTGGGGAGTTTGGGCACTACTATTAGTAGGGGTAGAAGAATTAGGGTTTTGTGGGTGGGGCGGATTTGGGATCGAATTAGAATTAGGGATTTGAGATGGAGAGTGTTGATGTTGAGGCTGATGAGAAGTAGGGGGACGATGGTGAAGGAGATGGTGCTGAGGAGGGCGCAAGTGAGCATCGATGTTGGATGGGAATCGAGAAATGGCGTCTTGCTGCTGTTTCTGGCGCTGAAGCTGCTGCAAGAGAAGGAACTGCTGCTGCTGCGCCATAGTCGCCGCCTTGGCGTCTTCCATTTTTCTCTGTACTTTTGAGTAACTGAGTTTATGGTAGAAGAAACGAATGCGAAGGAGTTACAAGTTCCAATAGTGGTCACTATTGCTCCAATGGTCACTTACGTTCATGTCTTTATTGGCCACACAAATTTAAAATGTCGAATCTTGATCACTAAATTTGGATCAATATTCTCAATTGCTCATTAAAATTTAAAATGTCGAATTTTGATTACTGAACTTTTAAAATGTCAAGTTTTGATCGCTGAATTTAGGTCTATGCATTACATTGCTCACTGAAATTTAAAATGTTGAGTGTTGGTCACTGAATTTTAAAAAAAAAATTCACTAAACTTTAAAAAATATTATACATTACTCACTTAAACTTTGAAACAACATTACTCATTGTAAACTCGATATTTTTCAAAGTTCATAGTTATGCTAGTGAGTAACGTACGACATATTTTAACGTCAGTGGTCAAAACTCGACATTTTAAATTTCAGTGACCAATCAAAAACATGGACCTACATTTAGTTACCAAAACTCAATATTTTAAACTTCAGTGGCTAATCAAACACATGAATCTAAGTTCAGTGACCATTGAAACAATTAACTTCTGAACTTAGGGTGCGTTTGATTGCAAGTAGGAAAATTGCATGGAAAGAAAATATTTTTCAGGTAATTTAATTGCCTGGAAATTATTTACATGGAAAATGTTAATTACACGTGTTTGATTAACTTAAATTTCAACCTAGAAAATGTTGCAATTTTTCAACTTTTGGTGTTTGATAGCCATTATTTTCCATGGAAATAATACTTTTTTTTCCAACTTTATCTGTTTGACAACCACTATTTTCCATGAAAATTGACACTTTTTCCATGGAAAATAGTGGTTTTTTCCATGAAAATTTGTCCATCAATTTTTAGAAATATTAAACAATAGTGTCTTCATAAATAAATTAATATTGTATGCGCACTATGATTATGATTTTTTTGGAAAAGTCATATTTCGACAATAATATGATAGAAAATAATTTGATTTTATCAAATTTAAAGAGCAAGCAAATCTTATCAAAGTTCAATCAGCCATGATTTCGAATTGGATTATTGTTCACGGCCAACTACATGAATATTCCATAGCCGCAACTTAATTTAATAAATTAATTAACAAACCTTAAACACCTAATTAAGCATCTATACTATTTTTTTAATCACGTAAATAAATTATATTGATCAAAATTGTGAGTACAATTACTTCGGGTATACTCGCGCATTCAAAGTAAAACGCCACAATGATCCAAAACAAGTATCGAAACATGAATCAATTTAAATGACATATAAATTTTGAAGTTGGTGAATCTTGAAATTTTTGTTCCAAATATAAAAAACACAACCTAAATTATTTAATATAAATAAGATTGATGCAGCTCAAAACCTTGAACACAAATCTAGAATCCACAAGAAAATGAAAAATAACTTTCTAACGATGTCAAGCCTTCAAGTGAGACGAAGGCAACTTGAAAAAGCAAACTGGCTGAAATTGAGGCTCCAAGCACGACAGCACCAATTTCAGAAGTTTACTACCATTTGGGCAATAAAAAACTGCACAAAAACAATCAACAATACTGCAATACACAGCTTCCACGAGCATTAAAACAAGCAGGCTTCTGGTGAGGTGCCTTCCTGGAGTTTAAAAAGACAGGCAGCTGGCCAAAAGGAAGCTTGAATCTGCTTCAGGTTATGAAGGGACTGCACCATAGTCTTCCAAGAAAAAAGGATTCCTTTACATCTAACACTTGAATCTGGACAGATTTTAACAAAATTTGCAATACAATATTTGAAATTACCTAGGAAAGGTGAAATCAAACAAGAGTCTATCAGCTCACAAATGCAAAAGGCAAACAAGAATTAATGCCAACATCAATTACTTGAGATAAGTTAACAACAGAAACAGACACCAAGTTTTGAATATTGTATGCTTGGAAGTCGTATGTACCTGGTCCTAATGGGAAGACCGATCAGTGAACTCACCCGTTCACATCTCTCCCATTTCGCTGATCAAAAAAATTAATTATGACTACCTTAACTAGTACTTCTTAACCATATGCAGTAATGTGCTTCACATCATTGCTTTCTAATTATCAGACAAAGTAAAATAAAACGGAAATAGGAGGAAAGAAATGTAAGCCAAAAACCATTCCTGTGGAAACATCAAAATTTAGGGCCATATTCAAGAAATGGTTGAGACTTTAATTATGCATGAGGTCCCATACAAATCATGCACAATTAATAATAATAGATATGTTCCTATGATAGTAAAGACCAACAGGAAAAAGAACAAAAAGAAGGAACACATTCCAGTATAGAAATCCAATTACCAGAAACACATACAAATATATTGAAGGGAAGACGAACAGCCCTCTTGTTGGTTATTGGGGATATTGGGTGTGGGTGTGGGTGTGCGTGGGGTTGGGTTAAAGCAGAGATAGTGGGAAAGGAAATCTTGAGGAACAAGGCCAAAGGGTCAGTATTCTAAGCGACGAGGGTCGGTGGCCGAGGAGGGGCCGGTGGTGTAGGCGATTATCCAAAATAAATAAATAAAATAAAAAAGTGTTCACAGCCCGAGTTACCACACCCAACGATTCTGGTTCGCAATCAAAGCCTCCTTGTCGACCTTCTGCAGTGATTTCCCCGGAGTCAGATATGGAAGCAGAGATGGGTCGTTGACTGCTCCTGCCTGGTTCGCCAGAGTAGATGAGAGAGACGATACTGTTTTGTACGTGGCTTGGGATGAGAGAGAGAAATGTTAACGTGAGTTGAGAATTTGTTGGAATGGTTGAATTCCATGGAAAATATAATCCACCTTCCCCCAAAGAAATTATTTTCCTTGATTTCAAAGAAAATGTGGTCACGTGATCAAAAGTGGAAAAATATTTTTCTTGAAAAAAATTGTCAATCAAACAAGACAAAAGTAGGAAAATAGGTAGGAAAAACACATTTTCCATGGAAAATGTGTGCAATCAAACGCACCCTTACAGTAAAATCTCAATTGGTCACTAAAATTTTAAAGGGATAATTATAACAGAAGCTTCAAATTTTTGAAATATTTACAGATTTTTCTTGAATCTTTCATTTGTTGCAGTCATCACCCCTAATCGTTCCAAACATTGCGTGTGTCCCTTTTGGATGGTTTCCATAAAAAATTTCTTTTGTTGACCATCAAAATAAATTCTGACCACCTTTTAATCAAATTTAAAATGACAAAATAGTAACTTTCTATTTATCACATTAAACAATTAAAAAATTTAAATTAAAGATCAAAGGAAAAAAAGAAAAGAAAAATTGATCTTCTTCTTCTCCCAACCTCCCCAGCCCCTCAATTAAAAACCAGCAATAATAAATTGCAGAGTTTTTGAACAAAGTTACATTTTCTAAGATTTTGAATCTTCATTTTAACAGAGAAAGTATACAAACCCATGTCAATACTAATTTAGAAAAAAAGAAATCAAAATTGGGATTCGGGACTTATGGTTGGAGATGGAGAAACGGCGAGGGGCGAATAACGGGAGAGGACGGATGCGACCGAAAGTTCATCCTTCCTACTACAGTATTACACGTGAATAGCGTTTGTCTTAGCTTTAAATATTATACACCGACATAGAATTTCATAGTCGTTGAATTGCAAATGATTGATACCTTCCACCTTCGTTCAGATTGTTTCAGATAATAAATTTAGGGTTTCAATAAGCTTTGATTTTATATGGAGGAGGAACATTCTGGTTTGTACAGAGTACAGACCAAATTTACCAGCTCAAAATCAAGACTTTTATAAGGACAATGAGAAATTGGTCGGAGTTTCTGTGGTTGTCATCGAGGATTCCGTGCCCCAGGTGATCGGTCTTGGACAAAAACAGGAGGAAAAGGCTGACCAAGGGCCGGAAGAAAGAGGAGGGGAAAGTAGAAGAAGTTCCATTTTTATTTTATTTTTTTATTTTTTATTTAAGTTTTTTTTGTTTAATATGGTAAATAGAAAGTTATCATTTTGTCATTTTAAAATTGATTAAAAAGTGGTCAAAGTTTATTTTGATGGTTAAATGACGAAATTTTTGACGGATACCATCCAAAAGGACCTCATGTGCAATGTTTGAAAATATTAGGAGTGACGGTTAATATTTCAAAGGTTTGAGACTTCTGTTACAATGACCTCAATTTTAAATTATCTTAAATTACTATGTTTTTTTGGAAAGTTATATACGTGAAACTGAAAATCGCAAGTTAACTGCTCCCTTAATTTTTGTAAGAGTTTCGATAAATAAAAAATCTGTAAAAATAAAATAAAGATTCAAAAGACCCAAAAAGAGGCTTACTTGAGTTGGACCAAAATTTTAAATGGTCCAGTTGAAAGCCCATTGAGTCAACTCAACGTTTCAACCGCCAGTATTACCCCCAAAACTCGTCCGATTGAGACCCGAAAGATAAACCCAGAACCAAACAGTACCTTCGTCTTCTGATGTTCTTCGGCTGAATGATGAATTGCTTCCTTGTGCTTCACTTTGCTGTGGAAAACTCGCAATTGTATTTGGCTAGTTGTTTCATCCTACCTCCGAACAAATCTACTCGAGTAAGCTGTCTGTGCTTTTTGATTAATGAGCACATTATTTTTTGTTCTATCATCGAAATGGCTCGGTTAAGCCTTCTATATAGTCGTTTATAATAGTGTTTAATGTGCTGGATTGCCGATTGTGTGATTTTGAACATTTCCATTAATGATTTTTCTTTTCTTTTGCTGATTTTTTTTTTTAAAGCTATCGTTTGTAATAAACGAGGTTAATCTCGAAAATTAATGTTGGTTTAGGGCTGAAATAAAATTTGTACAGCATTGTATGCTTATAACTCATGCATGTTAAATAATTTTCTTCCAAAAGTCATATGTTGATATGGATTTATCAAGTAATGCGAGCTATAGTTATCTTGAAGCAGACTCCCTTTATTAGTTCCAATTTTATAGGTTCAAATAATCTATCCAGTCGATTTATTTGTAAAGCCACTATCACACTAGTTCATGTATCCTTAACTGGTTGCCACAAAGTACTATCTCAATCG